CCACGACGACCTTCAGAGGCACCACCAGGCTGTTTTCCAAAGTGGCTGCACCATTTTGCGTCCCCACCCCCCCACCCCCCCACAGTGCATGAAGGGTTCATCCGTCCTCTCTTAACGTGATTGCTTAGCCCCTTGGAAAGTGGCTCTCCCGGGCACACGAGGAAGGGAAGCTTGTGATAAACGCCCCGTACGTCTCCAAAATGGGAGAAACCACTCAGTGGCTAGGTCTTGAATGCACCTTGGAATCATCTGGAAGCCTTTAAACGTGTCCTGGTGCCCGGCTAGCCCAGGGGAGCAAATCCAATGGGTCGGGGCTTGGGGACTTTTACGGGCTTCCCAGCCATCCCACAGCACAGGAGCCGAGGCCGCAGCCCTGAGAGAACCTTCTGGTTCCCCTTTCCCCTGCTGCCGGGGCCGCCTTGCCGGGGAGACCACTGCTGGGAGGCGGCCATCAGAGGCAGGCTTTTTGGTACAGCCCTTGTCTTGGTCCATTTGGGCAGAGAGGCCAGGACCACAGGGTCACAAGGCCGTGCCTTGACTTCAGGGAGGAAGATGTCGGGCTCGCAAGGATTCCTGGGGGTCAGGGCCAGTCTCACAGCATGCGACCCACGTGGGCTCACGGGCCCACACTCAGGGGCTTGTGCTTGGCGTGACTGCTGCCACTGCCCCCTGGGACTCTCATAAGGCCTGAACCAAGAGCTATGCTTTCTCTCCAACCTGTGCGGGGCCCTGTAGGGCATGGGCAGGCCCACAGAGTCCATCGTGGAGCTCTCCCGCCTCCACCCAGGGGGACCTGTCATCTCGACACTAGTGACAGGGACGCAGATTGAGAGAGCCCGTGGCCTCTGTGGAGTCGCCTGCCTGCACCCCTCCCACGGGGAAGCCCCAAGCCCGCAGCCAGGCCAGCTGCCGGCGGCTGGAACGCAGAGGCTCAGCCATGCCTTCAACCCTGATGCCGCCGCTGCCCGGTCCTACACAACCTTCCAGGCCTCAGCCCCTCGTCTGTGAAGTGAGTCACCAAACCTGAGCGTGAGAGCGAAGATTAAGTGAAACCACTTAAGCACTGAGCGCCCGGCCCCATTCCTTCCCTCGGCAGCCGTGGTGAATTTCGTCGTCGAGTGCTGCCTATCACCTCCTCCCCCTTCCTTCCAGCTTCCGGAAGCCACTGCCCAGGCACCTTGCAGGGGCTCGGTCTTCTGGCTCAGAGGACCTCCTGAGTCACCGCAGGCCCACAGTCTTGGGTCGGTGTCAGGGGACAGACCCCGGGGGACCTTACCTGCCTGAGTGCTGATCGTCGTCAGGTTTTGGTGCAAGAGCACGTTCTCTATGCAGCAGCCGACGTTCACGCCGGGGGTCCACCGGATCGTCAGGACACTGACCACGTCGTACAAGCCCTGTGCATTCAAGGAGACCGTGTTGTTCTGCAAGGTCTCGTTCAGCAGGCTGTTGTCCGTCCTGTTGATCCAGTACACGTTAGGCCTCGGGTAGCCGTTCACGGATGTGCACGTGAACGTCAGCTCCTCATTCTCGGAGGGGCCGCTTGGGGCCCTGACCACGGGCATGCTGTAGTTGGCTGCAGGGGGGAGATGGGTGGTGAGGGAGGCAGGTTCTGAAGGTCAGAAACAGAGGGGCACATGGTTGGTGCCCAGGGCCAGGGTAGAGGGGAGGTGGCCCAGCGTGCCCTGACCGCGGGCCGGGCAGCCGGCACACACCGCCGCCCCCCAGCAGGGCTGCTGGGCCCGCACCCCCTCCCCCATGTGAGCAGGTGGGGCGCGTGTGGATCTCCGGTGACACGGGAGGCTCGCGGGCCTTCCGGAGGGGACAGGGTCCGGGGTCCTTGGTTGACTTTAATTTTCTTCCTAAACTCGGATCTCCCTTGGTGCTTCACAGCATTCTCTTCTAATTTCATTAAGAACACCTAGTCGGACTTGAGATGCAGAATTTAAGGCCCAGACGGCAAGGTTAGGAGTTCTTCTGTGACACCAGGTGACCTCAGGCTACGGAAAACTTCCCAGGAGCTGAATGAGTTTTCAACCAGTTCAGCTTCCCGCTCGGTTGGACAGAAACCCGCTGGCAGAAACTAGGACGTTCTTTACGGAAGAAACAGGTGAAGGAGCCCGAGGATGGGCCTCATTAATACTTTCTCTGGGACGCAAGGCTGGGGTGGGGTCTGTCCCGTCAGCTTCCACGGTCTTACCTGCCACGTGTAACGTCACCACGACATCCAGAATCTTGTCTAACTCCAGGGATTTCCTAAACACCAGGCAGTTGAACCTCTGTTCGTCCTGGGGGGTGATGTTGTGCAGATGGAGAGAGAAATCACCCCGCTTCATGCTCTCCAGCGACAGCCGGGCCCTGTCCCTGTAGCGGTTGTCCTCGTGGCCCGCGGAGCTGTTCCCGGAGAGGTAGTAGGTGACCACGGTCTTCGGTGTGCCGACGACACTGGTTTGCCAGTACACATAAAGGTCATTTAAATCAAAACTGTGTCTTTCGGGGAAAACGCAGCTGAGCTCCACGTCGCTGCCCACCAGCGCCCTGACTTCTTTCTCTTGAACATCTGCTGTGGTTCAGAAAGCACGACGTTTACTTGCTACGGTTGAGTCCCAGCCCGCGAAGTTCTCTAACTAGGGGGAGGGAGGCTTTTTGGTAGCAAGGGTCAATCAGACACCTATTCTGACTCATTTCAGTAGAAATGTTAATGCATTAATCAAATAGACGTAGGAATGTGCTAGCATGTTTAAAATTCAAACAGTTTTGGAAAGCACTATATTCTCCAGTGTGGATTTCCGCCCCGGTGGGAGAGGCCGGCATCGGGAGGAGTCGGGGGAGGGGCGGGCACCCAGGACGGCTCTGCACGGTTTGGGCCACCTCTTGGGTGTTTATAATTAACTCAAAGTAAAAAGCTTTTTTTGTTTTGTTTTTTTTTTAATTAGGACATTTACAAGAAAACAGTTTCTCAGCAACAGCATTGTATTAAGACGCTGCTCGCAGGGCATCAGAAAGGCCCACGAGCCGAGTCTAGAGCCGCCGCACCACCGGTGCGGCCATGGCAATGCCCGTGTCCCCTGTCCTGCCACCCTCGGGGCTGGAAGGCTCCGCAAGGTCTCAGCCTCGGCTGTGGTGCCAGATCCCTGTTCCTTGCTCTTCTGGAAGGTGGTGGCTCTGGAGGCTCCCCGGGGCTGACTGGGGCAAAGGGGTCAAGAGAAATGGGAAGCCCCAGCTCATCTGGAACGCGGAGGGACGGAAGCGACTGTCGCTAAACACGAACTAAGACAAGAACCGCAGGGGCCGCACAAGCGGCCCCTTCGTGGCCTTGAATCTGCACGTTCCCCTAGGCCCCGAGCCCCGCTTTCCCGTAGGGCCCCCTGCAAAGGCCAGAAGGGCCGCAGTGAGGTGGCACCCGCATCCGCAGCCCCGGCAGGAGCCTCTCTGAACTTACTGGCTTGCAGGGCGCTGAACAGGAGCAGGAACATTCCAGCACTGGAAGGAAACGACCGGAAAGGCAGGTGAGTTCCCGCTCCTCCCAAACCTCGTGGGCAGCGGTGCTCATGCCCACAGAGGAATGTGAACACACCCACAGCCCAGCCCGTCGGACGCGCCCTCCCCCCACGCACAGCAAGTCCTGAGCCACCAGCCAGCTCACAGGGTGGAGGGAGCCACCCCCCAAGCCACTGCCTTCAACCCTGTGCCCGCCTGGCCTTTGCCGGGGATGGATTCCAAGAGACTATATGAAATCAGAAAAATACACTCTCAGGGACACCTGGGTGGCTCAGTCAGTTAAGTGTCCGACTTCGGCTCAGGTCACTATCTTGCGGTTTGTGAGTTCGAGCCCCGCGTCGGGCTCACTGCTGTCAGCGCAGAGCCTGGAGCCTGCTTCGGGTCCTCTGGCCCCCTCTCTCTCTTTGGGCCCCCCCCCCCGCGGGGGCTCTCGCTCTCTCTCTCTCTCTCTCTCTCTCAAAAGTAAATAAATCTCAAACAAAAAAGAAAGAAAAAAGGAGAATACGCTTTCAGGGTGTTTCTAGTCAGAGCTACACTTAGGTTTGGGGAGACAGAGAGGCTGTAACATGCCCCGCGGCAGGGTCGACTGAGCGCAGGGCGGCGTTCTGAAAGGACACGGTTGTTCTGAAACTACATCTGGTGGCTCTTCCAGGGCAGGCGGGTGGCTCAGCTGCCTGGGGCCAGCAAACCCCTCTGGGGACTTCCAAGGCTCTTCGACCCAGACCTTCGACCCCAGGGACTCCACACCGTGTGCAGCTCAGCCCAGCCACCCCCTCCTGAAGGCCTCCCAGGCTTGTGTCCGCTGAGCTCTGGACCCAGAGAAACCCCTGCCTCGCCCGCCACAGCCGTCATCTGAATGTGCACAGACGCATGTCCCTTGCCGAGTAAACTCAGGTCCGCATGGCTGTCCGGCCCAGCTGGGCCCAGGCCACCAGGGGCTCCCTCACACCAGAGGCCACAGCCTGCAGACAGGCCTGTCGTGTCTCCTGTCTCTGTTGGGGCCACCATTGCTGCTCACGGGGACAGCTCCCATAACCTCCACCTGCAGCCCCCTTCCCTGGAGCCAGAGCAACCTTCCAAAACACGAGAGCTGCGAACACCCTGGTGGCTCCCGTGGTGCCCATCAGACCCCCTTCTGCACTGAGGATCCAGGGAGCATACAGCTGCTGGGCCTCCTCTGGTTATCTGGGGGCAACCTGAGTCACAAGCACTGGCCTTGGGGAGGGAGCTGGGTCCGCCTGCTCCCTGGGTGCGCCCTGGGCCCCCTGCTGGCCCACCTGGTCCCCAGCCTACACCCCAGACTCTGGGGTGTGGGTGACCATGAGGACGTATTTTCTTCGCTTGAGAAAATGATTGTAACTACCTGCATTTATAACTGGGGACACCCGGTGGCAACCAGTTTATCAAGGCGGGCACGCCCCCGACCTGTCCTGAAGGGGGCGCTCTGGCCAAAAGCGGAGAGCAAGGCAGAGTCCCCCAGCTCTCCCGCCGGCACCGCGAGCGGTGAGCTGAGCCGGGGTGCCAGCTTCGCACCTCCTCCGGGTTGGTTCTGCCGACGGGAGGATATATTACCCAACAGTGGGCACCGGCTGGCCTTGGAGGGAGTGGCCACGGCACTGCGAGGTCGCGCCCCACCGCTGGGCAGTCCGTGCCCTCTTCCCCTTAGTGCGGCGCGCGGCTGCTCTCCTTTAGCTTTCGCTCTCGCCCTCTCGCGGCGGGCACCCGCCCCCAGGCACACCCACGTGCCGCCGTCGGCCCCCCACAGCGCGCCCCGCCGCTGGGCGGAGGCCACCCTCCTGCAGGTAGGGCTCCCGGCGCAGCGGCGCTCCCAGCGGCCGGCCCTGCCCGCGGATCCGGCCGGCGCCGCCAGGTGGGCGGGGGGGTTCCTACCCGGCCCCCTGGGGATCCTGCTCCCTGCTCCAGCTTCTCTTCTTCCGTTGCACCCGCAGGACCCGTCCTCCCCGCCCCCGCACGCTCACCTTGTCAGCCGCATGGTGGGGGCGGGACCTCGGGCCGCCGGAGCCGTCGGAGCGAGAAAGACCTCGGGCTGCCGGAGCCGTCGGAGCGCGGGAGCCCAGGTCTCACTGCGCGCCTCCGCCGCTCTGCGCGCTAAGTGAATCGCAAGAGCTGACTTTCCCCAGCGTCCGCCCGGGGCCTCGCCCCTGTTCCCACCCCCTGCCCAGTCCCTCCCACGCCCTTGGCCGCAGGCGGGGCTCGGAAAAACGGAAGCTCAGTCACAGGCTCCACAAAGTTAAGCCCTCCCCAGCCGCTGGGCGCCGAGTTGGGAGGGTGGTGCGTGGTCCCGGGGAGGAGGGCGGCCGAGGGCTCCGCGGGAGGCTGGCGGGGCTGTGGGAGGCTAAGTGCTGCCCCCCGGTGTCGCGCAGAACGTCCGCGCCCCGATGGGGAGGCAGAGGCCGGCCTTTGGAGGTGAGGGCCAACGAGGAGGGGTCCCCTGAGCCCAGCCACCTCCAGCAGCCCGTCCTCCGTTCACCAAAGATGTAGCGCACACCCACCGCGGGCCAGGTCCTTTGTGAGCGCCAAGGACCGACTGTTAAAACCAGACAGGCCGTCCCGGGAAAGTGAACATTCCCGGGGAATCAAGGGAGGAAGCGGGGCCCGGGAGACTGGGGCAGACCGCCGGGGAGGGCGGCTGGGGAGGAGCGGAGCCTGCAGGTGAGACCCGCGGCCACGCAGGGGCGGGGCCGGCAGTCCCGAAGCTCTGGGGCTTCACCCCTTCCGGGCCTCTGGGAAATTGGGTGGAGGGCGTACCCCAGGCCAAGCGGGGCCGCCCTCCGTTTTAGCGGGGGAGCCAGGGCCAGGGGGCCAGGCCAGGGCTCCATTCACGTGTCCGGAGAGGGCCCGGGCCGTCCGAACTCGGCGTGTGGCGGCGTCATGAAGGGGGCGGGAGATGGGGGCCCGCAGGAAAGGTAAGATGCGGCTCGGAGAGCAGGGTGTGGGCGTGAATCAAATCCTAGAGAGGTCTCAGGACGCTTCCTATTCCCGGAACCAGAACGCCAGGGCCATATTCTGCGCGCAGCCGGGCACGCTTGGGGGAAGGGCACCGGCTCAGACCCAGCGGGTCCGGAAGGGGACACGACGCGGGTGGCCTTGCTGTCCCTTGGGTTGGCAGCGACTGGCAGCGGAGGGCCCGCGGGAGCGGAGGGAGAGCGCGGGATGGGAGCAACTCCCATCTCCCGGCCCTCGCGGGTCCAGCCCCGCCCACAAGCGCCGGGTTTCCCTCTGATTGGGCGGCGGACGGGCTACGCTGCAGTGATTGGCTAGCGCCTGGGTTGCGCTCCACCTCCGGAAGCTCCCCGGGGAGCCCACTCCGCGGGTCTGGTTGACCGCCCACCCCCCCCACCCCCCCACCCAGTGCGATCGCCGCCGGAGTCGCAGGCGAGGGGAAGGAAGGTGCCCAGTCGGGTGGGCCCCGGAAACGCAGGCCCTCGATGCAGCCCGGGCAGTGCCCCACGGCAGCGGGGAGGCGGGAGGGAGGGGGCTTGCAGGGGCTAATCTGCAGAGCTGAGGGGTGCTGTGGCTGGTGGGGAGGCACCAGGTTCTGCTTTCTGAGCAGCGCCCCCACCCCTCGCCGCAGACCCCAGAAGGTCAAGTGCTGCTGCCAGGCCAGCCAAGAATGGGGACTCGGACCAAGGAAGCGCTGTTTCTTGAGCAGGTAGAGGAGTGGTGGGGAGAGCAGCAGCTGGGTCGGAAGGGACATCCGGGCAGGACCCGGGTCTGGGGGAAGTGGCGCACCCAAGACCAGTCTCAGGGACCTCAGCCTGATGAGTGCATGTTGGATTCAGGAGCTGTGTGACCTGAGACGAGTTAGTTAACTCCTCTGTGCCTGCCTTTTCTCATCTGCGGAGTGGAGACAGTTACAACACCTTCCTCAGAAAAGCAGCTGACTTAATACGTGGCTATTGTGAGCGGATACGCATAAAACATTCACACCAATACTGGCACGAGGATTTTAAGACAAGTGGAAAAAACAGAACATTCCTCTGAAGGCTTCCTGCAGTGGAGGAAAGGTTTCCCTTTCTTCCCCTTGACAGTGACCCTGTTTCTCAGGCGGTCAGAGAGTGGAGAGAGAGAACATCCAGGCCTCCCTGGGCACCAAGCAGCAGTTGTATTCGTGCTGGGAATTGGAAGTCCTTGGCACAGACGAGAAAGGAGCAGGCTGCACTTTGCTGCTGGAGACCCGAGCTTCCTGTCAGCTGTCCTGAGCAGCTCCCTTGGGGTCTGGCACAGCGCCTTGCTGTTGACATGTGGGCGTCCCTGGTCCCAGAGAACCCACCCTTCTAGTGCGTGTGCCAGTTTCCTGGGCGAGCCGTAACGAATCACCAAAACTCGGCGTCTTAAAACAACAGAAATGTATTCTCTCAAAGTTCTGGAGGCTGGAGGTCTGGAATCAGAGCTCCTTTGGGGACTTGACATGAGGCTACTTCCCATGTCTTCTGCTCTTGGTGGCCCCAGGCTCCCGCGGCTTGCAGCTGCTTCTCTGTCTCCAGGGTCATGACCTTCTCCTCTGTATGAGGTCAAGTCTCCCTCTGCCTCCCCCTATAAAAACCTTTGTGATCACATTTAGCTCACCCCCCACCCCCCAGTAATTCCCAACAGCCTCCCCATCTCGATTTCACAATGTCGGCTACATTTTTTTTTTGCCATATAAGGTGACATTCACAGGCTGCAGGGAGTAGGATGGGGACATCTTTTGGGATCTGTGGGTGGGATTAAATACTTGGAGAATTTTGAGGTATTTGAGGATCGACAGTGTTCTGCTGTTTGAGCGGCTCTGGGCCCCTACTTGGGAGCAGTCTGATAGAAAGCACACACCAGGGGCGCCTGGGGGGCTCGGTGGGTTGAGCGTCCCACTTCAGCTCAGGTCATGACCTCCGGGCTGGGGGTTCGAGCCCCGCATCGGGCTCTGTGCTGACGGCTCGGAGCCTGGAGCCTGCTTCCGATTCTGTGTCTCCCTCTCTCCCTGCAACTCCCCCACTCGCACTCTGTCTCTCTGTCTCTCTCTCAAAAATAAATACACGTTAAAAAATTAAAAAGAAACGAAAAAGAAAGTGGACACTAACACATTGGCCCCACAGCACTGGTTCCCTGGGGTGGAAGCAGCCTGGAGTCAGCCCCTCCCCACCCTCCTATCCCCCCCACCCCTGTCCCCTCACCCTGTCCAGACAGTTGTGATGAGCTCACATTTTTGTCAGACTGGCCCCAGAACTTGACCTACCGGGAAGGTCTTACCTGTGCTTGTGTGATGTGGTCTCCACTCCCCACCTTTTCTGGGGCTCCTGTGGCCTCCGTTCCATTACAGATCATGCTAAATTAGCCCCTGGACCCAAGAGCTGTGACATCAAAGCCCAGCATTGTCCTCCCGTCCACCCAGGAGAGAAGGTTCCTGGGGATTCCGTGAAGGCCTCCGAATTAATCAGGGCTCTGTAGAGAAACGGAACCCACGGGATGTGCCTATATATACAGAGGGAAACTTAGTTCAAGGAAGGGAGGGGCTCATGGGATCATGGAGGCTTGGTAAGTCCACAATTTGGGGGTGCACTGGCTGGCCGGAGACCCGGGGAGGAGTGGAGCCCACGGGCGGCCTGCTGAAGGATTCCCTGCTCGGAGGAGGTCAGCTGGCTCTGGTCGGCCTTCGGTGGACCGGCAGAGGCCCGCGTGCCGGTCTGATCGGGCTGCCGTAACACACTATCATATACCGGAAGGCTTCTAAAGGGCCGGAACGTGTTGCTCGCGGTTCTGGAGACGGGAGGTCCGAGGGCAGGAGGCCTGCAGGGTCGCGTGAGGGCCCTCTTCCTCATCACACACTTTCAGTGCAGCGTCGAGTGGCAGAAGGGGCGAGGGGGCCCTCTGGGGCCTCACGGATGAGGGCGCTGGTCCCATTTTGGAGTCCCCTGCCGAAGGCCCCGTGTCCCGACACCACCATCTCGGGGGTTAGGATTTCAACATGTAAATCTTGGGGAGACACAGACCTTCAGCCGGTAGCCCCCACCCGCATTATGGAGGGCAGTCTCCTTTACTCCAAGCCCACCAATTTAAATGTCAATTTCATCCAAAAAACACCTTCACAGAAGCGTCCGGAGTAACGTTTGAACAAGTATCTGGGCCCCGAGGCCCGGCCAAGTCGAAACCATTACAACTTCTATTCTCCTTCAAGGTTTGTTTTTTTTTTGTTTTTTTTTTTTTATCTTGAGAAGGCCCAATTTTAACCCCACTTTTCTTCTGCAAAGCCTGGGCCCCGAGGCTCCCCTCACCCCAGTTGCGACGCCCAGGGTAAGTTGGGTCTGTTTAATTAAGTCTACCTCACTTTGGGGGAGTTTCTGGCTAATCTGGAAAGGTCCTTTTCGGATTCATTACATGTGATTTGAAGCCAGCTTGAGTCGGTGCTCTGTAACACGTCTGTCCTCACCGGGGCCCGTGGCGAGCGGGAGTCCCACTTCCTACGGGCAATTGCCTCTGGTTTAAGGAGCTCCCGTGGGCTGCAGGCCTCGAACGGGGATCGGACCTTGGCCTCTGCGCTGTCTGTGCAGCTGTTTCTCCCTTTGTTTACCAACCGCCCTAGTCTACGCTTTGCAAGGGTTTGGGATGTTTGGTGCGGCTATCATCGGGGGGAGCGGTGCTCACTCTCGGCTTGGCGGCCCACAGGGGCCACACCCACCATGACAACCTGTCCTGCCTGTCTTCCTCACACACACTCCCACGTCCTATGGGATAAAAGAAAGGCTACTTGCACATAAAAACACCAGAATATGACCAGTAACAACCACAGTGAATATATTTGTAACGTCTCAACCGGCACACACAAACGTTTTCAGCAACAAATATGCTTCATAACGTCAGGGTCTTGTCCAACGTCAGAGGCTGAGAATGTCGCCCCCGTGAGAAAGGGCGGGGCCGGGCCGGGCCCTGCATCACCGCACCGAGCAGGAGGTGCCTCTGTCGGAGGCCACCTTGGGAAATCCAAAGTCAGCCAAATAAAATAATAGTTTGAAGAGAGAAAAAAAAGAAACAATGCAAGGAAAGTTGCCCGGTTCTAGGAAGACTTTTTTTTTTTCATGGTAAAATGAATCATTTATAAAGAGGAAGTGAGCCCTGTTGAAAAACACTTAAAATATTCTCTCAGGGGGAGAAAACAATTCTTCACCAGCTTGGCTGGCCCCTGGGCGGGGGGCTTCATTCTCCGCCTGTCCTGAGCCAGCGAGGACAATGCCTCTTGGGAAACCAGGGCAGAATGCTTGCTGCAAAGGAGAGAAGGAGGCTCATTACCAACCCGGGCCCCGCACAGGCTCCCCGGGGGTGGAGGTGGTGGCACCGTGAGTGGGCGCACGGGCTCCCACCGGATTATCCAGAGGCCTCGGAGATAGACATCCTTGGGAGCCCCCACCCATCTTCCGTAAGCTTTCCAGCCAGTGTAGGATGACAAGCAGTCCTTGGACAGCAGGGGACCAGATGGCTCCTCTGGGGAGCAGCCGGAGGGAACCCCGGGCCCAGCTCGGCAGTCCACTTTCAGTGTGAAGAGCCACCGTGGAGAGAACCCGCGCACAAGAAGGGGCAGGACTGCGCGGCCAAGGTGGGCCAGACCGCGCCGTGTATCACTCCCAAGGACTTCCTATACCCGAGACCCAGGACGGTACCGCGCATGTCCCCTGAGGGTGCCGTGGCCCCCAGTGCTGGGGGCCCTGTGTGTGGGGCAGGTGCATGGGGAGATCACATGCACCCTGGCCTGCGGTTTGATGTCGCCCGTGGGACTCAAGTCTTCACGGACTTGGTGCCCAGCACCCACACTAGGGTCGGGGGACATCACTGGGTTTACGTCGGGGATGAAGGCCACAGATGAGGCAGCAGAAACACACGGCGCCCATCCCAGACAGGCCTACTGTCTGAGGGATGACTGTGGCTGTGGCCGTGGCCATCCACAGGCAGCTGCCAACCGTCTCAGCTCAATGCTTCCACTTTCAGCGAGCATGAGGCTCTGTCCTCACTACTGAGACATGAGCCTGGAGGCAAAGGCCCACGTGAAGACGCTGCTTCCAGCTTTATTCCGGGAACCAGGCGCCTGCACCGGCAGAACTCTGGGGGAGGGGGGAAGAGGGAGGAGGGCAGGGAGAGGAGGAGGCCTGACGCTCAACG